AGTCTTCCCTAGAAAGATCTTCCTCTTTGTATACACACACCTAGTTCCCCATAAGGAATTGGTGCTCATTCGATACTTAGGGAATAACTCAGCACATTGGCCCTATATTCCATTCCCAACAGCGCGAACTATTACTTAAGCCTCTGGATGGATAAGGGCAATGATAGATAATTCTACCAAATGTACTAGTATCGTCTAAGTAATAAATTAAATTCATCTCCACAAGGATTAGAAATTTTAACGAGGTAACTATGGTGTAAATGAAAGTAAATAACAAGGGGGTTTTAGAGTTATTTGGTTTAAGAATAAAAATGAGAAAATTAGCGGAGTTGAATAATAAATAAAGGTGCTTAGATCTTCTTTCAACTCATTTACTCATAATTGTTGATGAACTGCATATTAATTAAATTTATAATATATTAACGTATTATAGCGAATTAACACGTCCACTGCACCAATTTCCTTAGTGTAGAACTCACTAATCTACATAATAATTTCCTAATTCCTTATGTCAATTCATAGTTAAATTAGGCGTTCTAAGTTTGTTAATTCAAAAGACACAACTTATAATTACCCATTCCTAGTTACTTACTAAGTTGAATAATTATCCTAAATCAGATCGGTAGATTAATGGTCATAAATCCTTACTCATCTAATATCGATTCATGCATTCGTCAATACATAAAAAGCAATAAACACAAAGACAATTAAATAATAACGACAACATAAAATAATTCAATTGATATCAAACAACCATATTATCAAACAAGTACAAGCAGGTTTATCTAAAAATACATAATATAAGGTATTTAGCTACTCATAGTGAATTAACAAATACCATGGGTTTAGACGCAGAGAACATAAAAATCAAGGAAGATAAAGATCTTAAATGGGTTCCAAAACCCTCAAAATTGTCAATTTGGTATTCTCATCTGTCACTTTCTCAGCTAAAATTAGGAACCCTAAAAAAGTACACAAAAATATCTATTTATAGCAAATTTTGTATGTCAGAGTGACACAACATTTTTCTGGTCTTGTATGTTGATAACATATTGCTTGCCACAAATGATATATGCATGATGCACAAAACCAAGAAATTTCTATCAATAAAATTTGAAATGAAAGATCTTGATAATGCCTCATTTGTATTAGGAATTCATACACACCGAGACCGATCTCATGGTATTATAGGATTATTACAAAGGAGCTATGTTGAAAAGGTGCTTAAATGGTTTGACATGCAGGAATGTAAACCAAAGGATACTCTAGTTTCTAAGGGAGACAAATTTAGTCTTAGTTAGTGCTAAAAAAGAAACTTAGAAATGTAAAAGATTCCTTATGAGTCAGTTGTAGAAAGTTTGATGTATGCCCAAGTTTCTACGCGTTCAGATATTGCTTTCATAATTGAGATGTTAGGCAGAATTTGAGTAATCAATGAATGGATCATTGGAAAACAACCAAAAGGGTTATGAGGTATTTAAAGAGAAGATAATATTATATGCTCACATATAAGAGGCCAGACCAGTTGGAGATCACTGAATATTTTGACTCTGATTTTGATGGATGCCACGATAGTAAAAGATCCACTTATGGCTATATATACATGTTGGTTGGTGGTGCAGTTTCTTGGCACAGTGCCAAACAAACTCTTATTGCTTCATCTACAAATACAATAGAATTTATAAATGTTTTGAGGCATATAACCAAGAGAGTTGGCTGAGGAACCTTATCATTAGGATACAGATTATGGAAGAAATTGAAAGACCATTTAAGTTATATTGTGGCGATAAATTAGTTGTCATATATTCCAACAATAATAGGAGCTCGACTAAGTCAAATATATTGACATCAAGTTCCTAGTTGTTAAGAAATGGGTACAAAGTAGGCATATTTCTATAGAACACTTAGGGATAAACTCCATGATAACAAATCCTCTTATAAAATTTCTTCCACCTGAGGTATTTCATGATCACACTGCTCACATGGGTGTTTTACGGTTTGAGGAATCTTTAGTTTAGTGAGAGTTAGTCATTTATGAATTTTGTGTTATATGTTTGGTATTATGTATGCAAACTATGGTTTTGAATATTTCTATAGAGCACTTAGGGACAAACTCCATGATAACTGATCCTCTTACAAAAGTTCTTCCACCTAAGGTCTTTCATGAGCACACTGCTCACATGGGTGTTTTACGGTTTGAGGAATCTTTAGTTTATGAGAGTTAGTCATTTATGAATTTTGTGTTATATGTTTGGTATTATGTATGCAAATTATGGTTTTGAATATTTTATCTGATTTATAAGTTTGATATTTTACTATTTACACTATATACAATAAGGTTATGAGATGATGTCACTAATGTAAAGAAGGACCAATTAAAAATTGACATGTACATACCACATTCTTGTGATTTTCATGTTACACATTTCATGATGAATCTATGTCATTTAGTTATGTCACTATTAGTAATCATTAATGAGTTTAGTTATGGTTGATATAACGAAAATCACTTTGGTTCTATATACTGGCATAACTAATGGACAAGATAATTTGGATATGCTTGAAGTATATAATGACAAATTTTGAGCTCATAAAGTCTAACACGTATGTTAAGTTACATATGTGACCACTGGGAGATTGTTAGAATTTTAGATCACAAATAATATTTAAGGTGTTAGAGCCATTGTTTAATTAGTCAAGACTTAAACGGGTCTAACTAATATTAAATTTATGGCTAAAAGCATAAATGTCATGAAATGTAAGGTTATTGTGTAAAATGTAGATATCATAAGTCAATATCTAATTTGATGAGGGGGCAAATTAGAAAATTGAAAAAAATAAAGAAAGAACCATTTAGTTATTTATATGGGTTACAGTCCCCATTAGTATAATGATTAAAAAACACGATTTACCAATACTCTTTCTTCACTCCCATTATAAGAAGAGATTCAAGAAACACTAAGGAACTTTACAAATTGAAAACCAAATACCCACAAGCCTTCAGCGAACCCAGTAACTAACTCAGATATACTTTCATTTTCATTCTCATATTGTATTCGAGTATGAGTTCATAGATATGTGTTTATAGAATTTGATCTCATAGGGTTTTATATTCTTAATTTTTATATGGATAGAAATACAGATCTAACAAAATTTAGATCTCTCTACTAAAAGTGTCTACACATTCTCTCGACAATTAATGACTAATGGTGATTCCAACTTACATGGTGGTTTTTTGGACCAAGTTTCATGTGTGTTAGGCAACAGTACACAAATTTCCTTTTGGTTTAATTGTTGGGACGATCAGGTACCTCTTCGTACTCTTTTTCCGTATTTATTTGATCTATCAACTATGAAAAATGTTGTTGTTACAGATATGGGTGAGTACGGCGTTTGGAGTTGGCATTTTGTGGCTATGAGGAATCACATTCCTGTTTAATTTTTGGAGGAATTTTCTGATATGCAGGTGCTGCTTATGTTTACTAGTCTACGTATGAATATGGAAGACACATTTGTTTGGAAATCAGGCCGTTCAAGTTCCTTTGCGGTTAGCCCGTGTTACCATTCACTGTTTCTTTCTGTGTCTGGTACTGAGATAGAAATTAATCTTAAGGCTGTCTTGGATGTTCTTTGGCAAACTGTTATTCCATTTAAAGCTCGCGTCTTCGGATGGTGTGTTGTTTGGGACATAATTCCTACAATAGCAAATCTTTTGGCCAGAGGAGTAATCTCTGATCCTCGTGATACCTTTTGCGTCTTTTGTTTCAATGCGATGCGTGCCCGTGTATTCAAATGGTTTGGCGTAAGGTTGTTGATTGGGAGGGCATTGCTTTGATGGAGGAGTCAAATGTGCAAGATCAATGATTTGTAAAATTTGTGCAGAAATCATCCAAATCGCCGGCTTATTATATTTGGTTCATTAAGTGTTGGTCAATTTGGTGGGCAAGGAACCAAATAATCTTCAATGGTTTGATTGATAATCATGAGGATATCCCATAGATAATAATTCAAACCTCTTGGTTTTAGTTGGGGTATAGATCTAAATCTTCTCGTAAGTGTAGCTTCTATGATTGATATAAGTCTCCTTTCAACTTTTTGAAGTAAGATCTCTTGTAGCCGCTTGGTCTTCATCTTTATTTGAAGATTGGTTTGTACTTGTTCTATCCTATTATAATGGTTTGGTCTACACCTAGTATGCTTAATTATTGAATTTGTTGCTTATAAAAAAATATTTAGTATTAATTAGAGAAGTATGAGAGCAAATGTACCAAAGAGTATTTAAAAAAAAACATTGAACTCAATAACCACTTATCCTCCTTAATTTTTTAAAAAATTTGTGGAGATTTAAACATCTAATATACCATATACTCAATACTACATTACTTGTTTGGCCAATTTTTTGGGGTTAAAATTAAATACTATTTTTATCGCACAATCTTTTTCATGCTGCTAGTGTATTATTATTTCACTACAAGCATGAAATAGCCACATGTGCCAATACCATTAAAAAAAACTGAATATAGGTTATAACATACAAACTAAAAACATAAGAAACATAGAGATTTTATAGCCTAATATTTCGCTCTCATAGATTAACCATTTAACTAAACAAAAGCCTCACCAAACACAAACGAGAAATGTCAAACTCCCTTTAATTAACTCCACTTAAACCTATGGTTTATTTTTTTGTTTCTCATTACCTCTAACTCTTCATTCATTTACCTTAACTCAATTATCTTCTCTACTACTTTTATTATATGTCTTTCACCAAGTCTTTCTAAAACACTTTTATTTTGTACACATTATTCATGGCACCAAGGAGGGGCCTATTAGATGGAGCTGAAGAACATTATGGATTAATGTCTTTTGGCGCCAAAGACATTTTTCGTATACGCCGTAAAATAAGACTTTGGCAGAAAAAGTTCAAACGACAACATCTATTTGGAGGATTAATGGTTCTTGTTTTTGTGTGCATGCTTACAAAGTTTTTATTGTTGAACATGTTTTCTGATCATTTTAATTTAGATTCTGTTGCACATTCAAACGTGGTGAAAGATGAACATTCACCAAAATTTTTGCCGGTAAATATTGAAAAAAAATAGTTATGCATGACATTTTGTATTGCTTATGCATTAAAATTGTGATGCTAGTTTTTCTCTGATGTTTGTTAGATAGACTCTCGAAATTTGGAAGCATCCTAATAGCGAAAACTTTTACAATTGCATGGGACGAACAAAGAATGATAAACGTGCGTTTAAAGAAGCTCTTTAATGTTGCTTAAATTAATTTGAGTAAAATTTGATATAAGTGATTCTCACTCTACCATTTATCTTTGTATAACTAGGAAGAATTTCTATATTATACAGGAAATGGAAGCTCTACAAATGGCTATCTTTTGGTTCATGCCAATGGAGGATTAAATCAAATGAAAACTGGAGTACGTATAACATAATTGATTTCTCGAATTAAAGTTTGTCTTTTAAATACATCTATATGTGTTCTTTTGGAGAGTTAACAAAATATTTTCTAATTGTAGATAAGTGACATGGTTGCAATTGCGAAAATTATGAATGCTACTCTTGTTGTGCCTACATTAGATCATAATTCTTTTTGGACAGATCCTAGGTATGAATTAATTATTATGAATTTGGATTTTTAAGTCAAACAAATTGATATGTTTGTCTGATTTAGTAATGTTGTAATTGTCTTATTTTTTAGTGAATTTAAAGACGTTTTTAACTTGAAGAATTTCATTGAAGTTTTAAATGATGATGTTCAAATAGTGGAGTCTTTACCACCAGAATTAGCATCAATTAAACCAGTTCTGAAGGCCCCTGTTTCTTGGTCCAAGGCAATTACCATTACATTGTCTACATATAATATTCTAAAACAATTATTATTAGGTTTTAAACATTTTTTTGTATCTAATCTATTTTTTTTATTGATTTGAAACATTTAGGCAAATTATTACCAAAGAGACATGTTACAATTATTGTTGAGAAACAAAGTAATCAAATTTACTCATACCGATTCTCGCCTAGTCAATAATGGTCTAGCTAACTCAATTCAAAAAGTGCGTTGTCGTGCCATGTATGAGGCACTTAGGTTCGCAACCCCAATTGAAGAGCTTGGAAATAAGTTGGTCAATAGAATTAGAACCAACAACACCCCTTACATCGCCCTCCATTTAAGGTAATTTACTTATACATTTTTTTCAAACCGATTTGAATAGAAGCATAGTTCTAAATATAACATTATAACTGACTTCACTTATATATGTAGATATGAAAAGGACATGCTAGCATTCACAGGGTGTAGTCACAACCTTACAAAAGCAGAAGCTCAAGAACTAAAACAAATGAGGTACCAAGTAAAACATTGGAAAGAAAAAGATATTGATGGAAGATCAAAGAGATTAAAGGGTGGCTGCCCTATGACACCAAGAGAAGTTTCTGTTTTTCTTGAAGCACTTGGTTATCCTCTTGATACAAAAATTTATGTAGCAGCTGGAGTTATTTATGGGTCAGAAGGAATGAAACCACTTCAAAACAAGTTTCCTAATTTGTTATGGCATTCCTCTTTAGCAACAAAAGAAGAATTGAAACCCTTTGAAGGACACCAAAATCAACTTGCTGCTCTTGATTACTACATAACTGTTAAAAGTGATGTTTTTGTTTATAGTCATGATGGGAATATGGCTAAAGCTGCTAGAGGTCATAGAAAATTTGAAGGATTCAAAAAGACCATCAACCCTGATAAGTATTAATCTTATTCTTAGACAACTCATTATTCTATTTCTTAAACAAATTTAGTTTTTATTTAATTATTAATTAGAGTTAGAGTTTGGTTGTTTTGTTAAGGCAATTCATTCAGTAGCTGTGCAGGGATATCAGAGGTAAGAGCGTAGGCTCGAATCAGCCATATCCCACATATTCACCTTTAAAACTTGAATTCCAACCACTAAACTACTTGATAAAAAAAAGTTAGAAATTTTATCTAACTCAATCTGATAAAAACTGTTTGTAAGATGAGGGTGTCACGTTAATCAATGTGTGTGTGACCTATGGTACAATTGATGAAGTCTATACTATCTTAGAGTTAAAGTTTAGTCTAATTCAACCTTATAAAATTGGTTTGTAAGATAAATAGTGTCAATAACTTTTGTTAACCTTTATCATACTTTATCATACTCTAGATCAAAATTTGAGATTTTCTTGATAGTAATAAACCTTAATGTACATCTTGCAGGCATAGATTTGTGAAGTTGATTGATCAATTGGACAATGGTTTAATTTCTTGGGAGGATTTTTCATCAAAGATTAAGAGCATACATTCAAAAAACATTGGAGCTCCTCAAACTAGAAAAATCAAACGTCACCCAAAATTAGAAGAGAGTTTCTATGCTAACCCTTTTCCTGGTTGCATTTGTATAAAACCACAACTTGAAATGATGACTGAAGTTACAAGTCATCATAATGACTTCCGATTATTTTAGCTAATAATTTTTTGTTGAGTTGTTAGATTAAATAAATTTGATTCAAATGTGTGTAAATAATAATTTTGATACTTGTATATATATTAGATAGTTTAATAGTCATACGGTGATCTTTATGTCCGACTTTTTCTCCTATGCTTATTTAATGATTGAGAGTTCATAAAAAGCAATTAATTAAAAATGAGGTTTTTAAAAAGAGAAATAAAATGTGGATAAACGGTTGTGACGAGGGCGAAGAGACAATATGAAAGAGTTGCAGAAAATGATCTAAATACTATTTCTCTTATTATTTGAATATATTTGAATTTTTTTAAAAAAATGATACACTGACGTATAAATCAATATCGATTATTTATTTCATTAAATCAAAATTAAAAGTTTTAAATTTTTTATATAATAATTTTTTATAAATATATGTAATCCCAAATTTCCTTTTATACATAAATAAATGTATCTGTATAATTAAAATTTACTTATGTATACAAATGCTAAATTACGTTTTCTTTTTCTCGTTTTGATCCCCTTTCATTCTTCTTCAAATTAGGGTTCTACGGTTCATCTCGTTCCTCTTAATTCTTCATCACTGAAATTCCTGGTTCGTATTGTGAATTTTAGTTTCTTTTTTCACCATTCCTTTTTCTTCTGTGATTATTCATCTTCTCTCTCCATATTTTTTATTTTTATTTTCGAAGTATCTTCATTGTAGTTCTCGTGAAATGCATCTGAGGCGGCCGCGGCTGTGATGTGCGCCGGCCAGCGGCTGCTCACCTTCGTACATCGGCAATCGCGCTGCTGTTGGCTGCGATTTACTACCTAGGATGATTTTGAGATCTCCGCCGATTGGATCTTGTTTATTTGATGAATTTCAAACATTTGTATTGTTATATATATGAAGAATTTATGTTCTGATTTTATGAGATTTGGTTACAAAAAGCAGTTATCTAGTTTTACTTCATGCTTGTTAATAGACAAATGAATTGAATGAAGTAGTGTCATCCATAGTTGCTAAGATATAATTTAGAGGATGTTAGAATGAACCTTATCTTTAGACTTTGTTTGAATGGATGGAATCAGATGGAGCGGTCTAGGATGAAATTGAGTGGTATTCCATTGTTTGGATCATTTAAAATCAGATGAAGCAGAGCAGTATGGATTTCATTCAATTTCATAACTTACCACCATATTTCTTCCCATTCAATTTGGGCAGAATGAAGAATTTGCCTTTTCCGACATAAAGTTCCAAACGATGGAATGGAATCTTCATTCTGCTTTGCTCTATTCTGCTACATTCCACTCCACTGCATTCATTTTATGATCTCCAAATATAGCGTTAATCTTTGTTGCCTGTATTCGGTTATACGTACATCATCAAACACTCTTTATTCTAATGTATATCATCATATCTTCCATTCTTATGTAAGTCATTTCTATGTATTAATTTATACTTAGATAGATAATTAAGATACAAGATTTGATTTGATGAATTAAAATTATGATTCCATTTTTATAAATAGTTATCTATATTGAGATAGTTCATGTGGAAAGCATAACAAGTGTTCGCTGCAAGACTTTCTAGAGGAAGCTTTATATGATTTGTTTGGGTCATTTTTGTTTTTTTTATATGCTTATGTTAAAATGTTCAAATGAATTGAGTTAATTCATCCATTGGGTTGGATTTCTTTTGCAATGCAGGGGAATGGGATTGTGGACATTACTCGAGGGGTTACTGCTTCTTGCAAATGCGCTAGCAATACTAAATGAGGACCGCTTTCTTGTACCTAAAGGATGGGGTATGTCAGATTTTTCAGGAGGCAGGACAAAATCTTTCAAAGGCCAGATTATAGGTCTCATTTATGCGACTCAGTACCTAAGACTTCCCCTCATACTTTTTAACTCCATCTTCATTATTGTAAAGTTTGTTTCTGGGTGATGCTTGGCAAGGTGAGATGTCAGTACTTATATGTCGGACTTGCATTCTTTTAATTTTAAGTGTGTAGACAGGAGATAGTAATAGTAATAGTTATAGAAAATATCTGTTGTTGTTGGAGTACCTTGAGTCACTAATGAATGAAATATATGCAAAAATTGTACTACCTCTCTTCCTTTTTATAAGAGACAACTCACTTTTTAGGTTCATTGAATAATCAATGTATCTAGCCTATAAACTGACCAAATACATTGATTATTTAATAAACCTAAAAACTGAATTATCTCTTATATAAAGGAACAGAGGTAGTATTTTTTGTTGACTATTAAAACCTATGTTGTCAATGGCAAGCTAGCCTATAGTGGTGGTAGGGTTCGGCATGACGCTATTAGTCCGCAAGCCACTGTCGACAATAGCGACTGTAATGGCCACTAATTGCGGCCCCAAACTGCTTCCGATGCTGTTATTGTGTTCGCTATTTAGAATTTTGGGGATAAATTTCTCAAATTCTTATTTTAAAACTGTCTTTTTTTAGGATAAAATTTTCAATCTGAACCCTTTGAAGAGTACTGTTATTTTTTTGCTCACAAATAATGTTATATGCTCTTCTTTCTACTTTTAGTGCAGTTCTATTTTGTTCTTCTTCTCTGCATAAGTTTTATAACTCTATAATTTAGATACTTTAACTATTGAGTATGATGATCTCTTGTGTATTAGTCAATGTTCGACTATTTATATTTACTATGTTTACTTTGTATTCTGGTTTTTTAGTCTTTGCATTAACGGCTATCCTACTATCCACTATAGTATTTTAGGGGGTCGGTGCTACACAACGCTATCCGAGATCAACAATATAGATTAAAATAAAAGCTGCGTTTTCCCAAAAATGGTATTATGAGCAGTCTAATGGATACTTCAATTTAAGATGCAACACATTTACAAATTTGAAATGAACTGAATTTAGTTATTTGGATTCTGTATTTAGCTCAATGCACGGGTTTTCTGTAATTTTTATTTCTTCCTTTCTGGTTGTTGGGCAACAGCATGGAATTACAAAAGATTAATGCTAGTTACACACTCTTGTACATTTTATATTATTAGATAAAACTCATGTGATTCTCTTTACTTTAGAAATGTGTCTCACCTAATAGGTAGTGAAACCCAAGTAGTTTAGTGGTATCCACATGAATATTTCTAAACAATAACAAAAGTGTGTTATATAGTGTGCTATTAGCATTATCTAGCTTGAAATATGGCTGTTTTGCTACTTATGGTATTTACATTGCAATCAACAAAAATAAATAATTGTAAACTTACCTAGTTGGTAATAATGAAGTCCAAATGTCAAGCGAGCATGTTCAGCAAACCTCCATTATACAGTTCGAAGAATATGGTAGTTTATTTTTATTTCAAGGGATTATGTTGTGAGGTTTAAGAAAGTAAACTGATGTTTATTTTATCCTAATGGTTGCAGGTGCTGGAGTGCTTCATCCTAAGATTTCAAGTGTTTTTAGGTAGGAAAATTCGAAAAGTTTGTAAGAATATATTCATTGAAAGTATCTCTTTGGGATATTGATATTATTAGTCACAAAATCACGATTGCTACCATGATATATATGCAGTCAGAATTGGAGATCAGTATTATTGTTTCTTTAGCTGTGTAGGTGCTGTATTCATCTTTTAAGATTTAATTAAAATGGGCCAATGTCTGTATTATTTTCAATTGCTAATTGCTTGGTGACGTGTCCCGAACTGATGCTGTTTAAGAAACTCAACAAATTATGGGATGTATAACTAAATTAATGACTTAAGTAATAAAGTTCATCAATTTGCAATTAGTCCCTTAAATTTTGTTTGAGAGTTTGGAAGGGAAAAAAGAGGAGGACTTCGGAAGGAAATGATGAAAGAGAAAAAATAGATAAGTTTTAACTATTTTCAGAGTTTTTGTGTAGAATAATAAATAAGTATTATTATTAATATATTTTTAATATTTAGATTATTATAACAATAAAGATTGAATTTGGAGAGTTTATGTAACCTCTCAAAATCCTTTTTTAATATACTTTTGTAGTTTCTTTAAATTAGGGAATTTCTATTTCTCTTCTCAAATTTTTCTATTATTTCATATTTTTTATTTTCTTTTTTCTCTTAAGTGCTTCTTCCTTCTCTTTCAAACTCTTAAAAATTATGCTTGGATTGATTGAATAGAAAGAAGTGGAACATAATCAAACATGATGGAATAAAGTAGAACCGGGATCATAAACTTGATTCTATTATTTGCGTATTTTTATAATTTGGCAAACGGATTAGAACAAATTAATACATTTTAAATGGGAAGAAATGGAATTTAAAAGATTAGATGAAATAAAATGGAATGAATTCCCCCATGTATTATTTCGCTCATTCCATTATTACTTACCAAACCATCCCATACTTTTTGGTATTTTGGAAGTATATGTTTGAGAGCATCTAGTAATAAATGATAGAACATGTGTAATTTGATTAATCAAATTCAAAGAATTGTGTCACTTATATAAAATGAAGTATATACCAAAGGTTTTTTTAACAAAGAGTATTCTAAACATGTGTAATGTGACTAATCAAATTCAAAGAATTGTATACAACAAAGGTAAAATATTCTAAGTGAAATAATTTTGTCGAAATTATTAGTTCAGAAACCTTACATGATGGTGTATTTCCTAATTTGTGACGAGTCTTATATTAAGTTGGGGAGCAAGGTGCATTTAACAAAATATACAGGCCAATATTCTGATGTTAAAAACAACCCATTTTTGTAATGAAAGCAAACTTGAAGCACGTTTCAACATAAGTCGAATAGCTGAAAGAATATCAAATTCATTAATCATAAATCAGCAAAAACATGATAAGTTTTTGAGTCGAGAGCAATAAGCCGCAGTGCTGCAATAGTTGCTGCAAGAGACATGACAGCAAAAAACCAAATGTTGAGCCAATGCCATAGCTTTTGAGTAGATTTTAGTTTGTTCTTATTTGCCACTAGGTACATATGGTGTGCAAGGATAAATGTAAGAGGAAATGTGCTTATAGCTCCTGTGAGGCTCATGAAATCTCCAAGGAATGGCAAAAGAGCTGATACAAATGTGTTCAAAGTCATGTATCCTCCTCTAACCAAAACTCGAAATGACAAATTCTTAAAAGCCAGAGCACTCCCTTTGATTCCATGTTTGGTATCCAAATATTCATACATTGGACTTGCAAATATCTACCAGAAAAGCATAAGAGACGCTATTAGGACAGGGCAAAAACTCAAGTAACAATGTTTTAAAGCAACAGAGTATTAGTTTAGAAGTCATTACATGCAATGCAATGACTGATTGAAAAAAGGCTGCAATGTTGGCCAAAGCCTTCACCCAGATTGGACCATTGACACTATTCAACAAATAGGTTTCTGTTGAAGATCCATAAGCCCAGTAACCTGCAAACGTAACCAAATATAATGGCAGAACTCCAACGGTAAACTGAAAGTATAGGGCTTTCATCATGTTTTTGACAACCGGTTGCCTGATCGTCGCCTATTATTCAAAAATGGAAATGTTACGAGTTCACAAAAATATCCAGGAAGAACTAATATGAGTTTTCATCGTACCTGTATCTCAGGAAGCATTCCTGTGTTATATGCGAACACAAGATTTGCAGACGCTCCAATTGTTGTAAATATTTTACTTGTTGATGTCCCTGGAATACTATAATCTCGAGCTGGTGATTTTATTCCTAATAATAAACGGTTGGTCAGTACGCAGACTCACACTAAATTTACCAAGCATAGTGAAAAGCAAATGTTGCCAATGATTAAGTACAATTTCTAAAAACATGAACATGAATAATACAAAGAGCAGTAAGACATTACCATCTTTTAGTGACAGTGCAAGCGCTATGACAATGTATGCGAGGCTTAAGACCGTTGAAAATCCGAGCCAAATTCCAAGAGCCGAAAGATGGGGAATACAAATGGCAAACATTGCACACACAAGTCCAGCTATGGCAATAAAATGTGGAAGCTTCATCTGATCATCATCCCTAAATAGGACATAAACAGCCTGCACCAAAATATTAAACACGATTCAGAAAAATTCTCGGGGCAGAAAGACTTGTTTGATTATGCCATTGTCAGTGTTACCTTCAAAGCCGAACCTGCTAAAATGATGTAGCCAGTATTTATCATGAAAAGATTGACATACTGCAGAGTCCAAGTGAGGGAATATATTTTTCTACCTACAATGTAAATAGAATCACATAAACAACTATGCTATGTTATGCTTATTTACATAACAAAATGACACGAAAAGCTCGCTTTTCAATCTAATATGCATCAGAATTCTTGATCCTGCAAAAAATTACTATTAAATATTGCTGATGGCCTGATACAGTAACACTTGCAGGTGAGAAGACATGAAAAACACGAGAAAATTAACATTTTGGTCCTCAAATTGTCTCGGTCATGCAATTTAAGCCCTCAATTTCAGAAATAGCAATTTAGTCCTTCAAACTAAAGAAAAACTTCAGTCAATTTAGTACCTCAACAAAAAATATATCCTTAAGAAACATCCATCAAAATCAATGAAAATGAAAAACTGCATACTTCATAGCTTTGACACTTGTCATCCAAGATGAGTCTGGTATCTGACTCGAGTCCTATATCCGATACACATGAACCGTGATTACATTAAACCAATTTATTTTCTCAAATCATCACCAAGTCAGAGTCATGTCACCGTGTCGTGTCAGTGCTTCATAAACCTACATACATATCAGCTTGAATAGTCTCATGCAACAACATCAAGACAAACAAACACACAACCTTTAAAATTGCAGTGCTAAATTTAGCCCAAACATACCATTAATTGTCCAACACTTAAAAATTTCAAAAACCAATATACACAATTAAAATCTCAATATCACAAATTTAATGACAAGATAACAAAAGAATTTTAGTATTATCATCTAGTTAAGGAGAATAACACACCATATACAAATCCAGCAAGATCGCGGTATCGAATATGTCTAGTTCCGCCGAATTCATGAAGCATAGCAATAAGAGCATTTGCATAAAGAGATATTGCAGTAGCAAGAATCAAACCAACAACACCACCAATCCAACCCAAAGGAACCATAATGGTTCCTGAATATCCCAGCACATAAGCGCTGTTAACTCCTGTGGTCAGCACAAACCCCACTTGAAACCACGAATCTACAAACAATAACAATTACGATTAGAAACAACTAGTTTAGGATTACCCAATAATCAAGAAATGAAATGGAAGAAATAAGGAACCAGTGCTGATTGGATGAGCAGTGTTTGGGATTTGAACATCTTCGTCAATATCAGGTAGCAGCGTGACGCTATGCTGCTCCTCTTCATCAACGGAAACGTTCTTAGCCGCCAGCGTGAATCTCGCTACACTCTCTTCTGAGAAAATCGAAAATGGTTAGATCAAAATCGAAAATGGACTACTAGGAGTAGTGAAGAGCCATAGTTTATAAGTAGTTGTTTCCGCTTGTTTCTTTTTCTAGATTGAATGAATGAAGCTATTGATTGTTTGTTTTGTACCTAGTTGTGATTGGGTTGAGTCCCACAACTTTTCTCTGTTCTTTATCGTAGAGCCCACAGAGGTTTATAATTCATATTTTGTACATTATGTTTTCTTGCGTTATGAGTATATATAGTATAGTTAGTTACTTACTATAATAATACAAACTCTTGCCCCCTTGGCTATCTTTTGGGCTAGGATGGCAAAAGGGCAATCTCGTCCCGCACATGCGAAAGTATGTAAAAAAAAGGGAATGATGTAAGACAGACATTTGAAAGAGTGAGAGTCTAATCTCTTGATCGGTCACATATTAAAATATAGATTAATATAAATAAAACGGACATGTTGAATTGGTCGAGCCTATTTTATCACTTTTATTTAAGATAAATAGAATGAAAATAAAATTTAATAAATAAAAATATTATTCTATTGCTTCATAATTTTATGACAGATTAAAATAACTTTGTCATTCTGTTTAAAATAAAGAATTTAAAAAAATAATAAAAGGCGATCATTTTTAGCTGATCCAAACAATAAAATATGAATTTATACTATTGTACTCCATTAGTTTTTTAATTACCTTAGAAAGGCTCTTCCAATCTATTTTAATGACATATATATGGTGACACACTATATGCATGAGTTCATGATTTAAATTTACTAAATTGCACCTCACAGAAACAATTGTGTGACAAAATTGCATTCCTATAATATAAACATAGGCGTCTCAAATAATTTAGTGGTTCGATTCTACTTTTAAAAAATAGATCTATTATGAAGAAAAAAAACACAAATTAAAAAGAGTAGTCTTTTGTTTAGATTGTAAATGAGACTAAAATTTATAAAAATATAATAAATGATTTATAAGTATTTTGACATAAATGACTTATAAGTGAGAGTTTTATTTTTTTTTCTTACCTTAAAGTTTTTCTATTTATAAAATATGAAATTATCTTGTTACCCTTTCTTTTTGGATAAATTATAACTGTGTGTCAATTCATATGGATAGTGAGGTACAAACATTCAAAAATTTATATTTTAAAATACTTTTAAAATTATGAGACCTTAAAAACTTTGAGATATTGTGATAAGAGTTTCAAAATTTCATTAATTTTTTTTAGAGTTGATATATTAATATGAATGAAACTGAATTAGTTAGAAAAATTATAAAATTTTATAAATATAATGTTATATTAGATTGACCTAAATCTAGTTCAAAACTATTTTAGATCTAATAATTTAACTTATTAATTTATAATGACATACTTAAAATAATGCTGAATTTATCAACTGTTTAATATATAATTATAAAATAAAATTTGATAATACATCTTTAAATATTTAATTATTATTTTTAAAATTATCCAAAATTTATATATTAAAAATTGAGATAAAATTAAAAGGGTGATTATGGGCTCTTAGAAAGATAAAAAAATTGTTACTCATATTCATAATACTTAAGAATCAAGGATTTAGTATGTTTATAATAGTTAGAGTTTGTCCACAATAGCAAGAGGTTCTATATGGTGGTGTTACGATGTTTATGGTGGTATGAGATGCCAACTCATGTGAGGTGAAAGACTCTGTCATGTGTGTAGTGTTGATTAAGTTATCATCTATCTATCTCTTGTCAGAAGAAATATTTATAGAGGCCTTTGGGCCTATGGTTTATTTGGGAATGATAATCACCCAATATTTAATGGTGGATCATTGAAACCATAATTTCTAGGAGGATGTGGATAAGATATTGACCTAACTTCTCTCTACATAAGAAACATCTTTCTCCACGTTTCCCATAATGAGGGGAACGGGAAATGCTTAGGGCGAGGCAATTCCCCTTAGTGGCGACATATGGTCCTCGCCCCCCTCTGAGGGCCTCCTTGACAAGTCTTTTAGGCTAGACTTCAGTCGTGCCTCCTGGAAAAAATTCATGTGTTGCATCCCACCCGAGGAAACTCTAAGTCTCTTAGGAGAGGAGTTTATATAGCCTGTTCGACGGGATCTCTTAGTCCTACATGCAAAATTATATTAAGCTTGACTGATGAGACTATAAGTCCCTCAGGCGAGATATTGTACCTCTCTGGAAGGACTTCTATCAAGCCCTCAAACAAGACTTTTAACTAAGTCTCTTAGGATAGACTTCAGTCAGGCCTCCTAGAGGAGATTCATGTATAAGGTCCCACCCTAGGAAAATCTAAATTCCTTAGGTGGGGAGTTTAGGTATCCTGATCGATGTGAACTCTTAGTTCCACAGACAAAGTTATATTAAGTCTGAATGATGAGACTATAAGTCCCTCAAACAAGGCGACCAAACTCTCGAGCAGGACTCCTATCAAGCCCTCAAAGAATACTTTAAACTAAGTCTCTTAGTCTAGACTTCAGTCGCACCTCCTGTGGGAGATTAAAGTGTTAGGGCCCATCGAAGGAAACTTTAAGTCCCTCAGGCGAGGAGTTTATATTTCCTGTTCAATGGTTACTCTTAGTCCTATAAGTCAAGTAATATTAAGTATGCCTAATTAGACTATAAATCCCTTAGGCGAGGCTTTGAACCTTTGGGTGATATTTCTATCAAGCCTTTATATAAGACATTTAACAAAGTCTTTTATTAGGCTAGACTTTAGTCGCGCCACCTTGGCGAGGTTCATGTGTTAGGTCCCATATGAGGAAATTATAAGTCCCTCGGGCGAGGATTTTATATAGCCTCTTTGATGGGAACTCGTAGTCCCACAGGTGAAGTTGTATTAAGCCTATCTGATGAGACTATAAGCCCCTCAGACGAGGCATTTGACATATCGGGTGGGACTTCTGTCAATCCATAAGAGAAGAATTTTAACTAAGTCTATTAGGCTAGACTTCAGTCGTGCCACCTAGGAAAGATTCTTGTGTTAGGTCCAACCCGAGAAAAATCTAAATCCCTCACACCAGGAGTTTAGATAGCCTGTTCGATGAGAACTCTTAGTCCCACGATCAAAGTTATATTATTCCTGAATGATGAGACTATAAATCCCTCAAAAAAGGCATTGGACCTCTCGACCAGGACTTCTATCAAGCCCTCAAAGAAGACTTTAAACTAAGCCTCTTAGGTTAGACCCTATTTGCGCCTCCTGCACGAGATTAAAGGTTTATGGTCTTCCAGAGAAAACTCTAAGCTCCTCATGCGAGGAGTTTATATTTATTGTTTGATTGGAACTCTTAGTCCCACAGACGAAGTTATATTAAGTCTGACTAATGAGGCTCTAAGTCCCTCAAGTGTGGCTTTGGACCTCTCGGGTGAGATTTCTATCAAGTTTTCAGACAAGAAATTTAACAAAGTTACTTATTAGGCTAGACTTCAGTCGCACTACCTTGGTGAGATTCATGTGTTGGGTCCCACATGTGGAAAATATAAGTCCCTCAGGCAAAGAGTTAAGGTATACTCTTTGATGGGAACTCATAGTCCTGCAGACGAAGTTATATTAATCCTAACTGATGAAACTGTAAGCCCCTCAGGTGAGGTGTTCGACCTCTCAGGCAGAAATTCTGTCAATCCATAAAAGAAGACTTTTAACTAAGTCTTTTAGGCTAGACTTCAGTCACACCAACTCAATAAGATTCATGTTTTAGGTCCCGCCAGATGAAAATCTAAGTCCCTCGGGAGAGGAGTTTAGATAGGTTGTTCGATGGGAACTCTTAGTCTCATAGACAAAGTTATATTAAGTCTGGATAATTAGACTATATGTCCCTTAGACGAGGCATTGAACCTCTCGGGTGGAACTTATATCAATCCTTCAAACAAGACTTTAAACTAAGTCTCTTAGGATAGACTTTTGTCGTGCCTACTGAATAATACTCATGTATTGGGTCTCGCTCAAGGAAAATCTAAGTTCCTTAAGTGAGGAGTTTAGATAACATGTTTGATGGGAACTCTTACTACCACAAACAAAATTATATTAAGCCTGGCCGATGAGACTATAAATCCCTCGTACGAGGTGTTGAATGTTTTAGGCGGGACTTCTAGCAAGCCCTCAGATGAGACATTTAACCAAGTCTCTTAGGCTAGACTTTAATTGCCTATTCTTGGTGAGATTCATATGTAAGGCCCCATCCGAGGAAACTCTAAGTCCCTTAGGCGAGGAGTTTAGATAACTTGTTTGATAGGAACTCTTAGTCCCACAAGCTAATTTATATAAAGTTTCCCTAATGAGACTATAAGTCCCCCAGGAAATAGGTTAAACCTTTTGGGTGGGATTTATATCAAACCCTCAGACAAGTCATTTAACTAAATCTCTTAGGTTGGACTTCAATCGCGTCTCCTAGGAAAGATTCACGTGTTAGGTCCTGCCTGAGAAACTCTAAGTCCCTCAGGCAATGCGTTTAGATTTCTTATTTAAAGGGAATTCTTAGTGCCATAAGCCAAAGTATATTAAGCCCGACCAATGAGACTATAATTCCATTAGTAGAGGCATTGGACCTCTCAGAAGGGACTTTTATCATGGTTGTTGTTCCTTTGGTTGGCTACTTTAGGTAAAACAAAATGCGCAAAACAAATGAATTTTTAAAGAGGAAACATGTGCGACATAATGTTCCAGCATGTGCAAGATTTT